GGCTGGGGTGGGGTGAGTGGGGGTAGTGGACACTGAGCTTGCCCACCGCAACATTGGCGGTCTCTTGGCCCGGCGCCATACAGCGCGTGGGCAAGAGCAAGGGGGTTGAACACCGGTTCTTCCTGCTGCGCAGCACAGGTGTCGGATGACCCATAGAGCATCGTATTATTGAACAAGGTGTGTGACGATATCAAAAAGAACGATAAATAAAAACTGATTGAAAAAACTGATTAATAAAAACTGACACAGAAAAGTTAGCATACTCAAACCAAGGTAAGGTGCGAATTTTCAATGCAAAGGCAACAGAAAAATTGATACAAGAGAAAAAGTGTTCGGACCCTCGTTTGGTCTTATTTTATTTCTGATTCCAACAAAATGTTGGGATTCACCTCATTACCTACGGGAAGACAAAACCTTGGAAAATCGACAGATATATTTTTAGGAGTGCGTCATGTGTCGCGAGTAGGCAAGGAAACGACGACTCAGATTTCGTCGTTAACTTGCCTGCGCCAGCCGTCGTCAAGGGGCCTTGAGTGACTTGTTACATTTACAGCAAGCGGGGACGAGTCAGTGCTTATCGTGCGCCTCTCGCTTGTCCATCTCGGTGGCGGACGACGTGAGGGAAGAGACAATAATTATTTAAATCAGCATAATTGGCACAACGAGAAGCAGCCGGGTCAGCCTGACATGGCCGGACCCGTTGGGGAGTTTTTCCCCCCCCCCTCGTGGCTGCAAAACCCCACTCTTTGTGTCTACCACGCCTCGGTGCACCCCCCGCGGAGGCAGTCTAGCTGCGGGAAGGCCTTCCAGCGGGGCTGGGTTCGGATAGCGCCGTGTCGCACTGGGCAGCGGGGAGCTCCTTCGGACACGGTCCGAGCGGGTAACACCCGGGGTAATGAGATACTCACCTCTCTCTCCTCGACAAGGGTCGCCACTCGCCCGGGCTGCAACAAAGGAAACAGGAGTCAGCACAAGCGGGCAGCACAAGCGGGCAGCGTGCAGCACACGTCTGCACAACCGTTTTGGGCGAGTGAAAAAGGGCGGGCGGTATAATCGGGATAATGTCGATTTCTTCAGAGCTCAGAGAGTGCACTCTCAAGGGTAGCGCGGTGTAGGAGGATCATCCAAGGGAGAAACGAGTCGACACCTGAGAAGAACAACCGCTTACCTCCGCGGACTGGAAACAAACCCGCTTACCTCTGCAACCCTCAAACAAAACCGCTCACCTCTGGGACCCGCAAACAAAGACGCTTAAATGACTTTTTTTACACATTTTGAGATATGGGTATCATTCGAAAGAGAATTTTTCACTGATCATTTTGATACCCGTATCTCAAAATGTGTAAAAAAGTCATTTAAGCGACTTTGTTTGCGTGTCCTAGAGGTGAGCGGTTTTGTTTGAGGGTTGCAGAGGTAAGCTGGTTTGTTTCCAGTCCGCGGAGGTAAGCGGTTGTTCTTCTCAGGTGTCGGAGTAACAACACTGAAAATTTTACCTTCGTAAATTTACAACATAATTTGTATTTTTGATTTGCAAATTATATTCTAAATTTAAGAAAACCCATTCTTGCTTTTCATTAAATTCCAAGTTGATACAAAGTGCTTGTAATTTTGCAATTTCAAATTGTAATTTTGCACCACACATCACGGAAAATTTTCGTGTATCCCTTACAAGATTTTTTAAACATTGGAGACGAGATAGTAGTATGAAAGAACAGCCGCATTGGAAATGAAAATGTGTGAACATCACACATGAGTAGGTGTGTGAATGTCCATTTGTTCACTTGAGGGAGTATGGGTACGAATTTTCCTTTGAAATTCACACATTTGTGCCTCCACGTGTACAAAAGTCGTTCCACACACCAACAAGTGCGTGACATTCACACACTTGGGGTTTCCGGTGCGGGGCCAATAGCAGCGCGCTGTCTCGAGGTCCTTGCTCCTGCTGCTCGCGCTGCTCGCCCCGATCGACCCGCGAGGCTGCCACACTACAGACAGGCGCGATCGGTTCGGAGCCAGCCACCACGCGAGACAGGCCGACAGACGTGCAGGCGGTCAGCAGCACAGCTGAGCAGCGCAGGGTGACGTCAATAACCCTTGCCAAGGTTGTTCTCTTCTCGTCTCAACGGCGCCGGGGCTCGGCGCAGCGCGGCAAGTGTGAACAAATGTAGGCCGCGCCGCCCGTCGACGTCGTCCGCGCAAAAGCACAAGACGAGACGCGCGATTGGGCGGCAGGGCCGGCGGGCGTGCGCGCCCGGCCAACCAGAGGGCGGCGCACAAAGGTGCTTCGCGGAACCAATTGCCCCCCTTTACTTTCCCCGCCCTGCTCCACCCCGCCGCGCCCAACCTGGGCTTGTGTTGAAAGGAACAGCCATGCGAAATAAGAGTTGCCCATTACAGACAGCTCGGCCCGGGCGGTCTGGGGTCTGGAGCGGCCCGGAGTCGGTGACGCGGGCAGGACACCCGAGCAGCCACCCGGAGGGGGGGGGGGGAGGGAGAGAGAGATCACATAGTCTCTTCGAAGAGCAAAGGTCATCAGAGTGATTGATAGCCTCGCAAATTTCACCCATTCTAATATATGCCCTCCCTGCCCCTCTCTCTCTCAAGCTCAAGGGACTCCTCGACCTGTTGTTCCTGGCAACAAGAGACGTGGATCGAATACCCGGACACGGGATGCCACCACCGCCTGCCTCCCACAATCTCTCCCCCGCCTCGCCGCCACCTCGACCACTAACCTAACTCTTCTTTCTGCTTTTCGTAACGTTACAACTACCACCGCAACGTCACAACCACTGTCTCCAACGGCCCAGCATCGAGATTCATTATCTCTTCAAAATAAGAGAAATAACACAGAGACACGAGAGAGAAAGAGAGAGAGGGTTATGCAATCATCATCAGCATCATCAACACTGTAGCGTTGTACCCTCCGCCGCGCGATGGGGAAGGTTCAAAACTCGCGCGCCGTGTGGCGTTAGTATTGTTATTTATTTATTGCCACTATGGCGGGTGTAATGCGGGCCCCGCTCCGTATCGCTGCTGCGGGGGTCGGGGTCAGCCGTCAGGACTGTGAGGCGCGTTTCAGCAGCATTTCGGGTGGCGTGGCGCGGCGCGGCGGAGTGCCCCAATACCCTATCGCATAACGCCCTCCCCGCCAGCCCCGCCAGCCGTCTCGGACGACCGCCCCGCCGGCGGACCCGGGACCCGCAGGGCGTGGCGGCACCCCCCGGGGGGGCTTAGCCGATAGCGCGCGCCCTGCCACGCCACGCCAGGACGACAGGGCACACCGAGATTGACGCCGTCGTCGTTGCTTCATCGGGATCAGCTGTCTCTGCGAACACCATACCATACCAACCGCCGGAAAGAGCCCGACCAGTGCAGAAAAAAAAAGTAAAGAAAAAACAACAACATAAAAAAAACGACCACTGAATGAAATGAGAGAATTTTGCCGACGCAGTGGAAAAAGGGGAAAAAAGTTTACTCCGTCGCGAAGCGTTTCTATTATTATTGCTGTTGTTGTTTTCGAGGCGAGCTCCGCGAGGTCCCCGTCGTCGTGGTGCTATGGTAGGCCGACGCCCTTTGGCCGACTAACACTGCAAACCCAAACACTGTACTTAGTACACGCGAGAAAGAGTGTGCATTACGTGGAAGCACGCGCTTGAAGTAAGTACACTCTTCCTGCGTGTACGTGCTGTACTACACACTTTCCTCTGCATGCTCGTCCAAAGTGTACTCTTCCTTGCGTGCACTTTATGTACACTGTCGTGTTGGTAGTGCGCCGCACGACACGCACTTATAAATTTAGAAGGGAGGGTGGGAACGACGAGTAATGCCACAAAAATTAGACGATTAAACGCGCTGTGTATCCATGTCGTGATGTGCGCGGTTGTGCCGGTCCGCGTGCCGGCTGTGTGCCGCCGATGATAACAGTGCGGGTGAGCAGGACCACCGGCTGATCGGGGTATCGGCGCTGATAAGTTGCGATCCGAATTATGGACGGGACATTTGTGGCGCCCGCCCGCCATGGGCCTGAGCGCGCTACGCGCTGTTGGGCAGGTTTGTTGTCACATCTGGCCGGCCCTGCGATACGCCCAGCTCAGCCCAGCGCGGCCGGAATTCATTAAAGCTGCAGCCACAAATCGAATCGACTGGTATCGACGCGCGACTTGCAATCATGTTGTCAAGCGGACCAGTGGTGGACCAGCTGGCGCGCGCCACACAACGACAAGACGGGGGAGATTATTATTGTCATTTGTCGGCATACAACACGGTATCACGAGGGAAGCTGGTGACATCGCCGTGACGAGAGTTGAGAACGACACCGAACAGCATTTTATGTTCACCATTTTTTGAACGGACGCCAACAACAACACGCCGCTGCCTGCGTAGTAAAATGTTACAGAATTTTCTATCATATTGTTTTTATTTTTATTTCTTCCGCGGGAGGGAAAGAGAGAGATGTGCTAAACCTGCCTCGGCGGTCTCGATCTGCTCCTCATCGTTGTGTCTCTGACGTCGAGTGAAAATAATGGCGAATGGCGTCAAACGAGCGTCAAAGTACACCCGCTCTCGTGCCAAGAATGTCAGAATCTTCCGCGCCGGCAGCCGATGGGATTTAAAGGCTTCTCGAAAAGAATTCCGCTACAAAATAGTAGAGTCGAGGCGCCGCGCTGGGCGGGCGATTTATTTGTTATTATTTTAGGAGGCGCCTCCGCTGAGGTGTGGCGTGGCGTGACGCGGTAAGGCGGGGCGGGGTGGGGTGAGCCACCGCCGTTTCACGCGCCACCCGCGTGTCCGTCTCGCGGACCGGGTTAAAATAGAGCCAATACGCCCCCCCCCTCCCCGCCCCTCCCCCAAAGCGGTGAGCAGCCAGGCGTGGCCTCGACCGTGGCACGGTTATGGACACTTTGGACGTTAGGCGTTAGGCACCGCGGGCACCCACTTGATAGATTGTTGCTGCTTTGAGGAAAGAAACAAAAGAAAAGAAAAGAGGACGCACTTGAAATACTGCTGTTTGGCGTGCCTTCGCAATTACCTCTTTATCGTGACCTAGTTTTGTAACAATGACCTAGATTTGTAATTTTTTTCTCTTTGCGTTTTGCATGTAATGCTCTGCTACGGGAGACCTTCAAACCCTCGTTGCGATTATTGCTCGCTGAGTACCATCCCCTATCCCAAAGACAGTTACACACACGATGCGGAAACGCCTTCTCGTCGTCCGCTTTTAAGGTAAAACAATTACTCTTCAAACTTTTTGACAGCGCGCGGTGGTATGGGGCGGCACCTGTTGGCGGGCCTATGGGCCAGGCCGGCCGGCGGCGGCGAGCCTCGCCACGAGCCGCGCCGCGCGGGCCTAGCGCAGGAGGAGCAGCACGTGACGGCTGTTGTCATAAAGTGGGCCCCAGTGGGTCCCATCCCCACACCGACACCCATCTTATCGTGTCGGGCCCATGTAGTATGTGCACACTGACCATACAGCACATCCGTGTCTTTGTTTGGCTCCGTGCAGCACAAATATGTATGTTCTTTGATGCTGCTCCTCGTGGCGGTGAGAAAGAGATCGCCACAGACAAACAGCTACAGCTCTCTCTCTCTCTCTCTCTCTCTCTCTCTCTCTCTCTCTCTCTCACTCTCTCTGAGTTTCTCACTCTCTCTCTCCCTCGGAGAAGTCGATCTGGAAATTCGATAATCGCTCTGGCTGTCCGAGCCGTGTGCGAGGCGGGCCGAGAGTTCGGCGACTTTTGCCGGAGATAACTTGTTGGCGAGTGATAGCGGCAGCGGCACATAGCCACACAAACAGGTGGCCCTCGCCCGGGGGGCCCGGGGCGGCCGGGCCCCGCTGAGCCCCGCAGACGAGATGCTACAACCCGAAGAATATGTTGGGCGAACCACGCCGTCTCGTAGGGAACGCCCCTAGCTTGACACATTTAGATTAGCCTAGCGCCAACAAATCTCAATGCGGCATCAACAACTTTACCGAAATATCAGGCGGCTGACTCACGCCGTGCACTTTGGTACGCCGCGCACTTTGGTAGTTATACTGTACCGCATGAAGGCGTGCGGGCTGGTAGCCTACTCGCACGGCGCCAGGACGAGCCGCGAGGACAGGCACACCCTACGCGCACCCTAGCATGCTCTACAGTATAACTACGAAAGTGACCGGCATAAAGTCGGCCTCCTGGTACATACGACCACTGGTGGACTGCACTTCTTTGTGATTTTATTGTCACATCCAGTCATTTTCCCCAGGAACATAATCTATTCTTTGGAATTGTACTTAGTGTGCACTTATTTCCGTAGTGACATACCCCTCAGTATTACTATTATAAGTAGAGCGGAAAAGTCAACAACTTTTTATTCAAAAACTTCCTACTACTCATTCGCATGGATGCAGGAGGGTGAGTTCCGCGTCTAATAATTAATTTACTACTAAGGCCCCCGGTAAGGTAAGCCGCGGTCGAGCTTGACCGAGTTCAATGCCGGACGGGCTGGTCCCCCCGCCCCCTCCCCCTTCCATAACTCGCTCACACGCTCGCTAAGCAGCAGCAACTCTTGCTGCTACTTGTTGCACTGTGAACGCCATCACTTCTCACCCAGTCGGTGGTTGGGGGTGGGGAGGGGGCTTGCTGTATAGTTGTGCACACTCAGCTTCCGGTGCCCAGTATTATATCGTGACGAATGTGAGATGGCGAGTCGCGTGTGAAGCAAAAGTGGCCGGCAAAATAATTGCACGCGATCGCGCGTGGAGGAGTCGCCGAGGAAACATGACATGGGCAGTTTTTGTCATCCAGCGTCTTGTGCAACGACAACAAACATTTCCAGTTCCAGACGAGACAACTGACCATACCTCTAGGTGGGAACAATGGGATCTATCCAGAACAACAAACACGACTGCCTTGTTTTCTACGTTACTCCACATTTCTTTCTCGTCGTCGATGATGATTCTATGCTGATTGATGTCCAATGACAAATGAGAACTGCAGACAGGAAAGAAAACGAGAGAACCGATTTGAGCTCGACCCGAGGCTCGACCTGAACTGGCACTGGCGATGAGTTCTAGGCTTCCGGAGCGCCGTAGAGTAGACAACCCATTCGACACGGCACAATGCGAGTAGATAGGCTTCACACTACCGTTCTAAACTCTCCTCCAGGATGAGTCCCGCCTCGGCTACGCCCCACCAGCCGCACCCTGCCACGCGTCCCTTCACTCTCGTAGAGTACTCCGTATCGACTTGACCCCTTTCTGCCGACCACAGAAACGCGAAGGGCATAGGGCTGCATATAGCTCGAAGTGTGTCCCTCTAAAGTAACCTCGACTCACCTCATAACGCTGCGGTGCAGGAAAGGGGGGGGGGGTGCTGGAGAAGGACGAGACTGGCGGGGGAGGGTGAGGGGGGTGTATCCTCGGAGGCATCGCGTGTGGTGGCTCTGCCACGGGTCAGGGGTCAGAGCCCTCCCCACCCGGCCATCCCCTGCACAACACAAGGAGAAGGTCGCCGACCGGACCACTAACTCACCTGGTTCTCGGTCCCGCGGTGCGTCGTGTTGCCCTGCCAGAACTTGCGGGTGTAGCCCCGAACGAAGCCGGTGACGGACCGTCTGAAGTCGAAGCCCGGGTGCCAGCACAGGGAGCCGTAGCCGAACACCCAGAGACCCGAAGCTTCGGCGTCGGAGGCGTCGCCAGCCAGGGCGGCTGCGTGAAGCTGCTGCTGCACCTCCATTTCAAGGTGAGGGGCACGTTGAGGTTAGGTTGCGGCCGGGCCGGTGCAACGGGCCGAGCAGGCGCTGGATCAGGTCGAACAACCGGCCCGGGACGACCAGCTGGGCGAACGTGCCGGACCCGCGAGGACCGCGCCGACGACGACGAGGAGGACGACGACCGGCGACCGGCCTCCGACGGACTGACAGCCACCGAGGGGCAGCGAGCAGCAGCTCTCGCCGACTCGCGCCAGGAGAATGCTGTGCTGTGCGACCCAGGCGGAGCACCGGCCCAGAGAGAAACTGTGCTCGACAAGTGGACGTGGACGGGCGCGGGGCGGAGGGGGGACGAGGGGGACTCTTTCAGCTGCCCCCCCACCTCCCCGGCGGCGGCAGCAGACGACGCGGCGGCCCGACAGCCAACGGGTGCGCAGCGCGCGAACGCTGAGTTTGAATCCGATTGGAGCAGCGCGCCGCCAGGGGGCGCGCGGGGACACCGGCCACCACGTGGTGCGCCCAGCTGGCTGACGTAACCTGGCCGGGTGGTTTCGGCGAGCAGCGCCGCCGGTGCAGGTAGGTCCGGCCCGGCCCGCCGCAGCCGGCCCGGATCAAACAGAGCATTGTTTTCAAACGCACCGCGACAAGCTGTGGGTCTAGGTCAATGACTGGGCTCGCTCACACGCGCCCGGTTATCGGCCTGATCAGCTGGGCCGACGTCGTGATATCTGACGGCCACAGTCTGTTCGCGATCGGCTGCCGGGAGACCAGACGGAAAGTGCTGCCGGGATTCGTATGTTGTGCGGAGCGGAAGCGGGGCGGAGTAAACATTGCAATTGTGGGACAGGACTTTCCACGGGCCAAACAAATGCCTGGGACTGGATAACAAATGCACGCGGTGGAAAAAGACAGATCTAGTTGGTGCAAGGTTGATTAGGTTTTCTGGGAAATGTTTATGCATCAGGCGTCGACATTAAGGCCAGCATGGGCCAGATCTGGCCGCAGTCACATAACGAGAATTACCCGGACGTCACCGAACCGGCCAGATCTGGCCTGGCTGACGTCAGTGCAGTAATGTCCTGGATCTGGCCTGGCTGTATTTACCATGCGGCCGGATAAGAAGTGGTCTAGAAGAAAGATCTGATCCGGGAATACAACATGTGATGGGATGCACTCGAAAGTTCGAAAGCTCTCGGTAAGTGACCTTGACAGGGTTCTCCGACGGCGTCGTTCGCAGACCGCCTCTTCGTGACAGCCAGACAGCAGTGGTCAACGAGGCTGTTGGGGTAGGATGTAAGCACGTGGCACTA